GAGATGGAGGAAAAAGGGAAGGAGAAGGAGAAGGCAGAAGAAGGAGGTTGAAGTGGACAACAAGGAGGAGGAGAAAGCACAAGAAGAAGGTTGAGATGGAGATGGAGGAGAAAGGAGGAGCAGGAGGAGGAGAAAGCACAAGAAGAAGGTTGAGATGGAGATGGAGATGGAGAAGAAGGCAGAAGGAGGAGTTGCGGTGGACAACAAGGTGGATCAGAAAGCACAAGAAGAAGGTTAAGATGGAGATGGAGGAGAAAGGAGGAGGAGGGGGTGGAGGAGGGGGTGGAGGAGGGGGTGGAGGAGGAGAAGGAGGAGGAGAAAGCACAAGAAGAAGGTTGAGATGGAGATGGAGAAGAAAGGAGGAAGAGGAAGAGAAAGCACAAGGTTGAAGTTGAAATGGAGTCAAAGGAGAAAGCAAAGTAGTAGGAGGAGAAAGTACAAGAAGGAGGTTGAGGTTGAAATGGTGAAGAAGGAGAGGGAAAAGAAGGACAAAGAGAAAGTGAAGATGGAGAAAAACAATGAGAAAAAAGAGGAAAAGTATATGGAAAAAGAGGTGGTTGGGGTAGAGCAGCAGAAGAAAAATAATGAGAGGAAGAGAAAGAAGAAGAGGAGGAGGTGGTTGAGGTAGAACAGAAGGAAGAGGGACAGAAGAGTGAGGAGGAAGAGAAAGAAAAGAAAGATGATACGAAAGAGGAAGAAGGAGATGGTGGTTGAGATAGAGCAGAAGGAGCAAGAAATCAACCAGTTATGTTGGCGCTGTCAATCACTTGGATGAGCTGGGAAACCCAAAACTACAGAGCCACGTACAAATACAAATTTGACTGTGGAAGATGTCAAGGATGCATCAGCCCATGTGGAGGAACGTGAAGTTTCTTGGCCTGCTGAACATTTTGGCATCAGTTGACCCTCTGCGGATGGGTCGAGAAGGTTCCCTGGAGATTCCTCCCCCCCCCCTACTCACATCTATCATGGTTCTCCAACCTTCGGTCTTGCCAGACAGCAAAGGTTCCGGCCTGGCCAAGCCAGCATTGTTGATGCAGACATCAACGCCCTGATGGAGAGTCTTGATGGCAGAGAACATGGAGAGAATCTCTTCTTCCACCGAGAGATCACACTTATATGGGATGAGGACGCCCGGATAGCCGGCGCTCTCGCACTCGGCTGCCAACTTCTGAAAGGGGAACAGAAAAAGGCAAAAAGATGGAAAAACTGGAATGTGCTGGTATTTTTAGATGCACATTTTCACATTCCATGAAAAGAAAAATTCCAAAGGGGATAATAGGGGTGAAGCTGTGGTTACGGGGAAATCTGTTTGGATAGATATTTTGAAGCCGGTGATGGATCCATACGGGAGTCTGTGTGCGTCAGGATTAAATCTATGCCACAACTCAACAACAAACGATTTAGCACCAACATTAGACAACTCAACACCGAGGTTAACATAAAGTCAAGAAGACCTAACCACAGAAAGCATAAAAGTATAGCTTCCAGGAACCAACACAATTGCTATCCTTCCATCAAGAGAGCCTATGTATTTAATAGTCGTTTATTTTTAATTTTTTTTATTGTTTTTACAAATTGCTCAAGCTGGCAAACATAGCCCACACACCTTCCTCCTCCATGTCAACTCATAAGATATTTCTCTGGTCTTTTAGCGTTACCAACAGAAAGGGAGGGGGGAGCAGTGCAGCAGCTTGCAAAACCAAAACTGCATTCCATAAATGTTTTCAAAGATAGTTTCTAGGCTGCCGCGCAAAATTCTAACTGGAGAGCATGATTGATGACTCTTGGCTATGGATGTGTCCCATTGGAGAATATGAATTATGATACACCCAGGGCATGGGGGAAAACCAGGGTCAAGGGTGACAGTGAATGATATGTCTCAGAGTTGGCTACACCTAGGTAGTACCGGCATGTTTACTCCTAATAAATCTTCTTCAAGTTTTAAACTCCAGCTAGAGACTCATGATTTAAATGGGGGTGGATGCCGGAACCCTGACACTCTTTTTGTTTTCCCCACAATAACAACCCTATGAGGTGGGTTGGGCTGAGAGGGAGAGGGAGTGACTGGCCCAATGTCACCCAGTTGGCTTTCATCCCTATGGTAGGACTAGAACTCACAGTCTCCTAGTGATTGGCCCAAAGTCACCCAGT